CCCCCCCCCCCACTTGTACTTCTGTGACATCAGGGACTCCCAGCCAATCGCCGCTAAAGGCTTCACACCGCTGCCGTTAAAAAAAAAAAACCAACACACTGGGTTTGGAAACAAAGCGAGATTAAAAAGCCAGCAATTTCACACTCGGCCGACCAAAGAGAATGCGGGCCCGCCAATTCATCAAGCCGGAACCGTCTTTACCTTCTGTAAGCTGGAGGAATTCAACTGCGTCTTGTCGATGATTTTCACAGCCACCTGGAAGAGAAGACAACGCAAAAAGTCACAGGCCTGTCTGAAGGGCAGCCAAAAAAAAAAGGAGGCTTGCGAGCTAAACAGTGGTTTGCCCCTTCTTGGCTGCCTCCAGGGTTCCGCAGAACAACGGAGGACTCTTTAAAAAAAAAAAAAAAAAAGGAGGAAGATTATAGGAAAGCCCGTTTCTTCAGTTTAAATATTTTTCTCCCCTCCCCAATTAAACACAGTCCCAAAGTTCGCAGGATCTCCTGGTGCTTTTCTCAAGCAAGTGCCAGGGAAATCGGAAGATCCAGGAAGATTTATTGCAAGGTTTAAACAAGAATCTGAACTCCTAAATGGTCAAAAGAAAATTGGCAGTAGATAAGAGTCAAGGAATTGACTCTTTGCTCTCTCTCGTGGGCACGAAGGGACTCCAGGCTGATGACAGGCTTGACCCCTCCCGTCATCTACAGCGCTCCCGTCTACGTGCAAAGACTTCACCTACCCCAGCTTAGTAGAGCTACACAAGCTATTGCAGTCAACTCCAGGGTCCAGAACCCGGGATTACGAGAGATTTGTGGACTTGGTGATAAGGAGGTTTGCCGATTCCTTCCCCCCCCCCAGACGGGGTGGGGGAGAGAAGGCAGACAGCTTCTGAAAAAGCCGGGCTGGGGTGGCAGTGCCATCGGCTGCCATCTGCTCCAAAGGGAGAAATCAAAGGGAGGAAGAGGGCCAGGAATTGCACGCAGATTCTTGGCAAGGTTTAAAAAAAGAAAAAGATGGGGCATTTTTGAAGGCGGCTTAACTTGTTCATCGGAGTTTGCACTGGAGAAGAAAGGTGGGGAAGGAGGGAAGGAAGGGTTTGAGTGTGTGTGCGAATTTGGAGCCCCGTAGCTGAAGAGTTATGCATTTGGACGTAAAGAGGTCTGCCACTGGGGATATTGGAACTAATAAGTGAGCCAGTTTGGTCTAGCGGCGAAGGCACCAAGGTAGAGACCCAGGAGATAGAGAGTTCTAGTCCCGCCTTAGGCATGAAAGCCAGCTGGGTGACTTTGGACCGATCACTAGGAGACAATGAGTTCTAGTCTCACATTAGCCACGGAAGCGAAACGGGTGACTTTGGGTCAATCACCAGGAGACAGAGAGTTCTAGTCCAGCCTTAGCCATGAAAATCAACTGGGTGACTTTGATCCAGTCACTAGGAGACCGTGAGTTCTAGTCTTGCTTTAGGCATGAAAACTGACTGGGTGACTTTGGGCCAATCACCAGGAGACAGAGAGTTATAGTCCAGCTTTAGTCATGAAAATCAACTGGGTGACTTTGATTCAATCACTAGGAGACCGTGAGTTCTAGTCCTGCTTTAGGCATGAAAGCCAGCTGGGTGACTTTGGGCCAATCACCGAGTTTGAAGAGCCCTGCATTGGACTGTCACAAGAGCGCGAATCCTACTGCAAAGGACCTAGGTTGCGTGCTTCTCCCCCCCCTTCCCCTGGTCAATGGAAAAATTGTTTTCCATGCAACTGGTCCCTGGTGTCCGATAAATTGGGGACCGCCAGGTTCGAGCCTAAACACACACGCAGGATTCACGGGCCCGGATTCCACCCAGGCAAGTTAGTTAGGTCTGTTGCTCTCACCTCTTTCCCCGTCAAGACGTGGCGCGCCAACTTGACCTTGGCAAAATTGCCCTTGCCGATGGTCTTCAGCAGGCGGTAGTTCCCGATGTGGGGCTGCTCGTCGGTGGCGGTTGCAGGGATGCGGCCTCGCAGCATGTTGGACTTGGTGCTGGGCTTGGAGTCTGGGTGTCCCAAGGCCGGCTGGAGAGATGGAAAGGGAAAGGGGGAAGGAGAGAGAGAGAGAGAGAGAGAGAGAGAGAGAGAGAGAGAGAGAGAGAGAAATGAGACAAATTACGTTTTTATGGAACTCCGCTCCGCCTGCAAAACAGAGGGTCCTCAGCTTACGGCTGCAATTGAGCCCAACGTTTCTGTTGCTAAACAAGACAGTTGTTCAGTAAGTTTTGCCCCCATTTTACGACCTGGCTTGCCCAGTTCTTAAGTGAATCCCTGCAGATGGTAAGTCAGTCACACGGCTGTTAAGTGAATCTGGCTTCTCCACTGACTTTTGCTTGTCAGAAGTTTGCCAAAGGGGATCACGTGACTCCGGGACGCTGCGCCCGTCATCAAAACCTGCCAGGTGTATAGGACTACCTGTAGATTCCCAGAAAGGAGATTTCTCCCCTTGGCCACCCTTGGAATACGGAATCCAGTTTTGGTCACCACGATGTAAAAAAGATGCTGAGACTCTAGAAAGAGTGCAGAGAAGAGCAACAAAGATGATCAGGGGACTGGAGGCTAAAACATATAAGGAATGGTTGCTGGAACTGGGCATGTCTAGTTTAATGAAGAGAAGGATGAGGGGGGACATGATAGCAGTCTTCCAGTATCTCAGGGGCTGCCCCAAAGAAGAGGGAGTCAAGCTATTCTCCAAAGCGCCTGAAGGCAGGACAAGAATCAACGGATGGAAACTGATCAAGGAGAGAAGCAACCTGGAACTAAGGAGAAACTTCCTGACAGTGAGAACAATTAACCAGTGGAACAACCTGCCTCCAGAAGTGGTGAATGCTCCAACACTGGAAGTTTTTAAGAAGAGACTGGGCAGCCATTTGTCTGAAATGGTATAGGGTTTCCTGCCTGAGCAGGGGGCTGGACTAGATGACCTCCAAGGTCCCTTCCAACTTTATTATTATTATTAAGTGTGCGTAGCCACCGCTCACACAGGTGGGGCTGTGCACACTTGCACGCTCGCCTGCCCCTTGCGTGGCCTACTTCCGAACGGGCTGCGGCCCAGGATTTGGGGACCTCTGGGTTTGAGGATAATTTCACTGATGGATTATTTAACATCTATTCAGAATTGATGGACTGGGGCAGAGTCAAAGGTTGCCAAGAAAGAAACCCATAAAAAGCTGAGCAGGTTAAGAATCCAAGGGAAGCCTCACCTGGTGGCTGCTTTAACCTGCAGATAACACCACATCCTGTGTGGCCATGCTAGTTGTGCCCGTCATATCCTGCTTATTGTATCTAGCCTATCATAACGGTGCCCGTTTCACACAGGGGGGAAATGATCGCCGAGAACCTGCTGCGTGTCGCCTGGGCACGTCAAGAGAGCGCAGCTGAGGCCTGAGACGCTCCGAGGATCCATTAAGACAGAGACAGCAACCCAACCACCATCACGAGAGACTGGGCAGGCTGAGGATGCGCAGCGACAAAATAATCTTCATGCTCTTCTACCTGTCAACCTTGCTTTAATAGAATAACGGAACTGGAAGGGACCCTGGAGGTCTTCTAGTCCATCCCCCTGCTCAAGCAGGAAACTCTATACCAGGGGTCTTCAAACCTGGCCCTTTTATGACTTGCGGACTTCAACTCCCAGAATTCCTCAGCCAGCATGGGGGAACTATGGCCCCTTCATGACTTGTGGAGTTCAACTCCCAGAATTTCTGAGCCAGCATGAGGGAAACTATGGCCCCTTCATGACTTGTGGACTTCAACTCCCAGAATTCCTCAGCCAGCATGAGGGGAACAACGGCCCCTTCATGACTTGTGGAGTTCAACTCCCAGAATTCCTCAGCCAGCATGAGGGAAACTTTGGCCCCTTCATGACTTGTGGACTTCAACTCCCAGAATTCCTCAGCCAGCATGGGGGAACTATGGCCCCTTCATGACTTGTGGACTTCAACTCCCAGAATTCCTGAGCCAGCATGGGGGAACTACGGCCCCTTCATGACTCGTGGACTTCAACTCCCAGAATTCCTCAGCCAGCATGGGGGAACTACGGCCCCTTCATGATTTGTGGACTTCAACTCCCAGAATTCCTCAGCCAGCATGCCTGGCTGAGGAATTCTGGGAGTTGAAGTCCACAAATCATGAAGGGGCCAAGTTTGAAGACCCCCTGGTCTAGACCCCTTTCAGACAAATATCAATCTCTTCTTAAAAGCCCCCAGTGTTGGAACACCCACAACTTCTGGAGGAAAGCTGTTCGTTCCCCCATTTAATTGTTCTCACTGTTAGGAAATTCCTCCTTAGTTCCAGGTTGCTTCTCTCCTTGATCAGTTTCCACCCATTGCTGCTTCTTGTCCTGCCTTCTGGTACTTTGGAGAATAGGTTGACCTGCCCCCCCCCTTTAGTGGCAGCCCCTTAGATACTCGAATACTATTTTTTGACCATTTCCACCCCAAAATCCATCCTCAGCTCTGGAGTTCTCCACCCCGCTGCTGAGATGTTCCCTAGCGATGGTCCGCCCAGGCAGTTAGTAGCGCCATGCGCCCTTCGGAAACAGTTCCAAAAAATGTGCTTCCGACTCTCCCATATGATCCCTACACCTCGCTGCTATTCATGTTTCTCAGGCTTAACGAGCTAATTGATTAAAGTCAACGTGAATCAGAGCTGGAGGGTGGGCGGGCAGCCCTCGCAATTAGAAGATGGGAATAAATCATATTTTACCACTTTGATTGCGGCTCTACACCCCTGGCTGCGACTGTTGGCCTGCTCTTCTCCAGTGGAGACCGTGCTTTGTCAACACCCCGCCGAGCAGGCCTAATGAAGGATTATTTGAGGGGGGGGGATAGGAGATAACAGATGCAACCGCTAAAGGGGAGGTAAAGGGGAGGATGAAGACCGCACAACAGATTTGACAATCGGTATTTCTTTTCTTTAAAAAAAAAAAAAATCATTATTTTTTTTTAAACCAGGTTAGAGTTGCCTGACCAGGATTTGTTGTAACAGTTCCTGAAGACAATCTGCACACTGTGGACAGGTTCTACAATTGTTAAACTAAGAACAGCAAATGTATTTTTTTTGAGTTTATGCAGGGATGAGGAATAGAATAGAATAGAATAGAATAGAATAGAAAATAGGATAGGATAGAATAGAAAATAGGATAGAATAAGAATATAGAATGAAATAGGAATAGAATAGAATATAGGATAGAATTAGGAAATATGGAATGGAATGAATAGAATAGAATAGAATAGAATGAAACAGGAATAGAATGAAATAGGAATAGAATAGAATAGAATAGAATAAGGGAATATGGAATGGAATAAATAGAACAGAATAGAATAGAATAGAATAGAATAGAATAGAATAGAATAGAATAGAATTAGGAAATATGGAATGGAATGAAATAGGAATAGAATAGAATAGAATAAGGGAATATGGAATGGAATAAATAGAATAGAATAGAACAGAATATAGAATAGAATAGAATAGATGGAAATAGGAATAGACTAGGCTAGACTAGACTAGATTGGAAGGGACCTTAGAGGTCTTCAAGTCCAACCCCTGAGAAACAGACCCTATACCATTTCAGACAAATGGCCTGTCCCTGACTGAGAATGAGCCGGTGGGGGATCCAGGGGGACCACAAAAAACAACCACATGAGGCCCCCAAAGACAGTCCTGGAGGCCAAACAAACAGTGGAGGCTGCTCTTAAGTTAAGTTAAACATCTGCAATGCCGTTGCTGTCCATAAGCAGCCATTTTGGATCAGCGAAGCACCCAGGCAAGATCTCAACAGACCTTTAATCACCTTCTGACGGTGGAGGAATTCTGTTCACGGGCAGGAACCACCAAGATATTTTTTTGGGGGGGGGGACATCTAGTGGAAAAACAATCCACCATCACCACAAGAGAATTGGGCAACCACCGGGCGACTCGCTTATCAGCTGCAGCGATTCACTTAACAACCGTGGCGAGAAAGGTCGTAAAACAGGGCAAAAATCACTCAGCAACGGTCTCACTTAGCAACAGGAGTTTTGGGCACGTCCACTGTGCTCGTAAGTCGAGGACAAACTGCATTCGTTGGCCAAGAAGTTAGGCTTGGGCTGCTGGCTCACCAGGTTGAGAAAACCCACAGAGGCGGGGTGTGTGTGTGTGTGTGTGTGTGTGTGTGTGTGTGTGTGTGTGTGGGCAGAGACACAACTGGGCTTTCTGTTCTTAAAACGACACACTTCCTGAATAACCAGGAAATCCTAACACAAGCTTTGCTCCTTTGAAGGAGACCGGTACCACTTTCCCCCCTAAGAGTCACTTCTACAGAGATAACACATTTAAAAAAATGTTTCCACCCTAGCAGAAATGCTTTTATCGATGAATAAAACATGAAATCCATTATCTCTGGAAAACCTTGAGCCATCAAGTACCTGTATAGGCTGTCAGATGTGAGCAACACGACTTGTTTCCGGATGTTCCCAGTATAACAGCTTCTTTCTCTCCGGCTCTTCCGGAAAAACCAAGTGAGAGAGACTGAAGCTCAACAGAAGAACAGAGCGGGAAGGGACCCCGGAGGTCCTCTAGACCAACCCCTTGCTCACGCAGGAAACCCTACACCATTTCAGACAAATGGTGGCCTAATCTCTTCTTGAAAACCTCCAGTGATGAGGGAGGGAGGGAGGGAGGAAGGAAGGAAGGGGAGGAGGGAGGGAAAGAAAGAAAGAAAAGAAAGAAAGAGAGAAAAGGAGGGAGGGAGGAAGGAAAGTAGGAAGAGGAGGAGGAAGGGAAAGAAAGAAAAGAAAGAAAGGGAGGGAGGGAGGGAAGGAAGGAAGGAAGGAAGGAAGGAAGGAAGGAAGGAAGAAAAAAAGAATAGCAGAATAATAAAGTTGGAAGGGACCTTGGAGGTCTTCTAGTCCAACCCCCTGCTCAAGCAGGAGACCCTATACCATTTCAGACAAATGATGGTCTAACTCTTCTTGAAAACCTCCAGTGATGAGGGAGGGAGGGAGGGAGGGAGGGTGGAAGAAAGGAAGG